AAAAATATATATCAACACCAACAAAATTTCCCCAAAGCCCACAAAGACATGGACACTAAACAGCATGATGCTAAACAACTACTAGTTTTTTAATTTCTGAAATCAAAGCAGAAATTAAAAGATTCCTGGAAACAAATGAAAATGAAGAAACATCTTACCAAAACTTCTGGGATGCCATGAAATCAGTTCTAAGAGGAGAATTTATATCTCTATGAGCACACATCAAAAAAATGGAAAGATCACAAGTGGAGAGCCTAACAAATCACCTAAGGAAGCTGGAAAGAGAAGACCACCAAAACCCCAACTTTAACAGAAGAATACAAATCACTAAAATAAGAGACCAAATACAGGACACAGAAGACAAAAATATCATAGAAAACATCAACAAAACAAAAAACTGGTTCTTTGAAAGAATTAACAAGATTGATGGACCCCTAGCCAGAATGACCAAGAAAAAGCCCAAATAAACAGAATCAGAAATACAAAAGATCAAATAACAACTGACCTCGAAGAAATACAAAAGAGTATCAGAGATTACTATGTACACCTATATGGAAACAAACTTGATAACCTAAATGAAATGGAGGACTTTCTGACATCACACAGCCTCCCCAGGTTGAAACAAGAAGACACTGAAATACTAAACAAACCAATAACAATCCAGGAAATTGACTCTGTCATACAAAAACTACCTACAAAAAAAAAAAAAAAAAACCAACCTGGACCAGGTGGCTTTGCAGCAGAATTCTACAAAACGTATAAGGAGGAGCTGACATCAATCCTATTGAAAGTATTCTAGGTTATCGAGAAAGATGGAATTCTTTCCAAATCACTTTACAAAGCTAGCATCACACTGATACCCAAACCAGGTAAAGACCCAACAAAAAAAGAGAACTACAGGCAATATCCGTTAGGAACATAGATGCAAAAATCCTCAACAAGTTTCTAGCAAACTGGATACAAAAACACATCTCAAAAATCATCCACCATGACCAAATAGGCTTCATCCCCAGGAGGCAGGTTTGGTTGAACATTCACAAGACCATAAATGTAATTTAATACATTAATAGATGTAAAAATAAGAACCACATGATTATATTATTAGATGCAGAAAAAGCTTTTGATAAAATCCAACATCCCTTCTTGATAAAAACCCTCAAACATCTAGGAATAGAAGGAACATACCTCAAAATAGTAAGTGTCATCTACAACAAACCCACAGCTATCATATTGCTAAATGGACAGAAACTTGAAACACTTCCCCTAAAAACTGGAACAAGACAAGGCTGTCCACTCTCACCCCTCTTGTTCAACAATGTGTTGGAAGTCCTAGCTTGGGCATTAGACAAGAGAAGGGAATCAGGGGTATCCAAATAGGAAAAGAGGAAGTCAAGTTATCCCTCTTTGCTGATGATATGATCCTATACCTTGAAAACCCAAGAGAATCTGTCAGAAACCTGCTTGAACTGATAAAGGACTTTGGCAAAGTTTCAGGGTACAAAATAAATGTGCAAAAGACAGTTGCATTCCTATACACCAACAACAGGCAGGCAAAGACCCAAATTAAAAGCACAATCCCATTCACAATAGCCACAAAAAAAGTGAAATACCCTGGCATCTTCCTAACCTGAGAAGCGAAAGACCTTTACAATGAGAACTACAAAACACTTCTCAAAGAAATCCAGGAAGATATAAACAAATGCAAAAATATTCCATGCTCATGGATTGGAAGAATCAACATTGTTAAAATATCCATCCTTCCAAAGGCAATCTACAGATTCAATGCAATACCCGTTAAGTTACCAACATCATTCTTCTCAGACCTGGAAATGACAACACAGAAATTCATATGGAAACATAAATGACCACGAATAGTCAAAACAATCGTTAGCCGAAGAAACAAAACAGGAGATATCACACTTCCAGACTTCAAACTTTACTATAAGTCTGCAGTAATCAAAACAGTTAAAACAGCCTGGTATTGGTACAAGAACAGGCACATAGACCAATGGAACAGGATAGAGATTCCGGAAGCAAAGTCTCAATTCCTCAGCCAACTCATCTTTGACAAAACCTCCAACAACAACCACTGGGCAGAGGAGGACCTATTCAGTAAATGGTGCTGGGAAAACTGACTGATCACATGCAGAAGATTGAAACAGGACTCCAACCTATCCCCATACTCAAAAATTAACTCTAAATGGATCAAAGACCTAAACATAAAACCTCAAACTATAAGAATCTTAGAAAGTGCAGGAGATACCCTTATGGAAATTGGAACTGGGAACCAATTCCTATTCAGAACTCTAAAGGCCAATAAGAAATAAGATAGACAAGTGGGACCTTATCAAATTAACGAGTTTCAGCAAAACAAAAGAAACCATCAAGAGAGCAGGAATACAGCCTACAGAATGGGAAAAAATATTTGCCAACTGTATATCTGACAAAGGCCTAAATCTAGAATCTACAAGGAACTCAAACTCACTGAAAGAAAAAAAAATAAACAGCTCCTTTAAAAAATGGGCAAAAGACATGAATAGACACTTCTCAAAAGAAGATATATGGGCAGCCAACAGACACACGAAAAAGTGCTCAGCCTCATTCATCATCAGAGAAATGCAAA